AAATATATATATATACATACATATATATATATATATATATATATATATATATATATATATATATATATATATATATATATATATGTTAAACAAGTAAATGGCCATAGTTCTGGAAGATAAATGTTAGCAACGCAAATTTTGTACTGGTGTAAACATTCAATCCCAAATGCGTGCGTTTGCCACTTGCAAGTTGACTTGTGGAAGGGGTTCGGGAAGTTCGTTAAGTTACTTCGAATTTTACTATTTTCATATACCAGAGCAACCAGAGGTAGCAGACAATCAGCGAGAAGAGAGTTTAAAAGCCATTTCATGTTTAGGTACAAAGTCTTTATCTTATTTCACGATACATGATTCTGAATTATGGCAAAGTATTTCAATGTCAAATCGAAATGTTAAACTAATTTTCCTTTATCACAAAAAGACTAATAGTTTGCTTAAATTTATTAGTGTTAAAAAATTGTGCACCAAACGTAAAAATAATTCAAATTTGGTGCAACCAAGAAAAGTTGAGCTAGTTCCAAATGATTGGAGCTTGTATCCTTAGGATTAAAAAATTGAACTCCTGCGCAGAGCTGGAGCAATAACGATGTCCAGGGTTGACACCATACATATGTATGATATAGCCTCAGCCCGCGTTTCTCCACTACTGAACTATCAATCTCTTTATGGAGACTTCCCTAAAGACAATTGTGTCTTCGTAAAACTCGGGCTCAGAATCGCTTTCCTTCCAGTCTTCTCGCCCACAGACTTTGATCAGCTGACTCGCAGATTGGGAATCCAGCTATGGCACACCATCTTAAATTCAACAACCCAACTGCAAGTTCATCTTCAGAATCTTCAAATAACTTGAGTATCTGTGACTCAGCAGACAAATCTTCAGACAGGATGAATTCATTTACAAATTTTTTCTCCTCCCCAACTATGTTGCCATCTTCAGATATCATACGCAAACTTAAAACCTGCAAGGCTTCAATTGCTGTGCTGTGAAAACCAGAATTTACGTATGCAGAGAACACATAGCCGCATGTCCTTGGATCGGGGGGAACTTTCTCTCGGTGCATAAGCTCCACAATGAACTCAATTACATCAACTCTTTCCTAATTCATGGAAGAAATTAAATGACATTAGGGCACATTCTAATTTTTCCATAAAAAATGGATAAAACGCACATCAGACTTTTAATCAGGATAGAAATTTTCCTTTCCTGAGCAAGCTAAGTGTGCAGAAAAGAACCTGAGTTATAGTTATTATTGAAAGGATTGTTTGTAATTGTGAGTTGTGGACACACATGAATATTCTTATTTATAATGAAAAAGAGACAGTCATAAGAAACAAAATCAAATAATTAATAATGAGAAATATTTGCTAAGAAATAGAGGTTCTCCCACCTAATCGACTACACCTTTGAGTTGGAATCTCCTCTTGTGCTTAAATCCTAATTCAACAGTGACAATTTTTACCTAAATTCAACTAATGGATATGAAGCATAACACATACCTTAACCTCAGATTTTGAACAAATTCCTTTTATTTCACCCTTTATCCCTCTTCTAGATTTTAATATGAAAGGTGAAGTACCTTGTAACAAGCTTGTTTAAGAACTGTATTGAACAGCAGTACATCAGGTTGGATGCCATCTAATTTGACTTGTTTCAAAAGATTCAGGGCTTCATAAAAGTTGTCATCTTCCAATAAAATCTGAAACAAACAAACTCCGTATCAAATTGGGATACACAGTTCCAAAAATAAATTTACAAGTTGAATAAGACCGATGTCATGGCAACTCATGAACAGAGAGTAAATATATCAGCACATGCACAATGAATGACACACGATACAACCATTATAAGCCAACATTCATGATGACCATAGTCAGCTGCATGATTCCAGTAATTTGGAAATTTAGCTAGTAAATTAGTGTCCTCTCAAGACAAAATAAGTAAAATTAGTTATAGGATCAAGATGAAGCAAAGCTTGACAATCTAGAAGAAATCCATGCTTTCCTTAGGTAGTCACTACATGTTATTTTTAATCCCAATGTCTTAGCCATTACATATCTGAGCAGTGATTTAGTGCATTTTGTACTTTCAAACTCCATCCAGCCTAAGGTGTTCAATGTCTGATGTTTTGAAAAAGACAATGCATCCTGCACTGTGAGCATAGAGAATGTAACTTTGGAGCGATCTGTAAATGCTACTAATTCTGCATGCGTTCAGTAAAAAAGTAGAAACATTTAACACCAAATGCACGCATTTGTCAATTATCACTTGCAGGTTGACTACTTGACTTATTGAAGGGTATTAGGAAGTGCATCAAGGCTCCTATAAAATCATAAGTCTGCGCATTTTACTCTTTTCACATTAAATCAAGTACAATGGAAAATCTTTGACTAAATAATAATAATTTGGGCTGGACTATCAGAGATTAGAATGAAATGAACCTTAATGATAGCAGTATATGTACAAATCACTGGACAAAACCCTTTCCGTATCATCATTGAAATCAGCAAACAAGCAGATCTGTAACTTTGTATGATGGTACAACAGTCAATCATTATATTGTATGTTTCAGAGTCAGGGTTGCAGCCACATAACTTCATCTTCTTGAAAACTGCAATTGCCATGTCACTCTGCATATCATGTGGTGGAAAACCTCATATTCCAGCCAGGCATGTCAAAATATAAAGTAATGATGTATGAGTCACTCACTTCTTTGGCTTCAACAAGATAATGTAACACTGTGTTGTACATATGAGTTCCCAATGAAGGGTTTTGATAAATGAAAAGATTCTCTGCCAGGTGTAAATACTGGATCAGCTCTCTTATCATCCCTTCTTCTCCAAGGGCTTTCAACTGAAAAGACAGAATGGACATGTCCAAGTCATAAGCAATGTAAATGAAGAAGATACCAATCATGTCTTACCCTAACAAAAGTGATATTTTAGATCTCTTAAACTTTATGGTTTTAATCATAATATGAACAGTATGGTTGGATCTCTTGTAAGTATACTGTCACCAAAAAAATCATTCCCCTATTAAATGAGGTTGGATTCACGGATTGGGTGACACCATTCTTTTCTACTAAAACCACATCTTTTAAAAGGTAGGTCATCTGCATCAAGGTCTCAATGATTTCACTAAATATTTATCCTTTAATTTCCTGCACTTCTGTTTATAGGCAGCGCCATCTATAATCACATGAATTCTTTTTATTTCTTTGGTACACCATTTAAGGCAAAAATTCTGTTGTTTTTTCCTCAACAGATATTATAGTAATACTAAGTTCAAATATTCCATATCTAGTATTCTAGTATTTGCTGCCCAATCATCAGCACTGCGAATGGCATTTCAGTAAAGGCTTCTTTTGACCTTGAGGGACCCCTTCTAATCACAAATAACACAAAACATCTCTTCATTTCATTCAAACTAGCTTGAATCCTATGATTTCCAACTTCCTTATTTACTAAACAGAACAGGTAAAAAGGATTGACATGGTAATGACACACAAAGAGACTATAAATCCACATTCTGGTTACAAAACCTTTTTATTTTTTACATTAACTGCACCCCAGAAAGTGTTAGTGACCACTTAGTTGAACCCCTCTCGGTTTTCTGAATCAGACATACAAGTTATTCATAGATTTGAACAGAAGAAAACCTCCAGAGATTGCATTATTCTTAAATTATGTGAAAGAGGAGACATAAATGAAACTTACTACGTTTTTTATTGAAAGATGACTGTGCTTAATGCCATTTGTGGCCATATATTTTTCTATAGCTTTTATTCTTTTAGCAGCATCCACCTGTGACAGTATATCACTGTCTTCATAAGGGGCATTTACAACACCAAATAACGAAAATAGAAGCTCACAAGTCCTGATATTAGGCAAAACTTTTTTCTGCTTCATCTTGGCAAACACTTGCACTGCACGTTCAGGTTGATTCTGCAAATTCAATAATGATAAACAAAATGTAAATGTAATGTTAAATTCAGTTGCTCGTCTTAATTGGTGCTCTGCAGCCTATTGATGAAATAAATAACTTAATATCACATTGCCACAAGTCCAAACCAAACAGTAACAAACCTCATAATAATGAAAAGAAAAACACTGAAGAATCTTGTTTTATTAACTGTGTTAGAAAAACAATTGTACGAATTAAGAAGTTTCCCCCATTTCATTTTATGTGCATTTTACTTGCAGTACATCAACGTCACCTTTTATTTTACAAGCATATTATTCAAAACTATAAATAGGATATGAAAGTACATGTAATTGGACTCACTCATTCAAATATTTTAGGAATTTTCACTGACCCTCTCCTCGTCACTCCACACATACACACTCAAGTATCTATCTTTCAAAAATCTTATTAAAGAATATATAGACAATTATAGTCTTACGACAATAAAATGGTTTAATAAAATTCTGTTTCTGAAATTTCCCATAATTGAGCTCACCAATTCATCGCATGATGCTAGCAAAGCATTATAAGACGATGTGGATATAGACATTCAGAAATCTGTTCAGAAAAGCCTCGGCTAAATCTAACTGTAGTGCTTTACTGCATGTGATTGAAAGTGTTGCTAAGTTGAATCATTCGGCTTCAAATTCTTCTGCTGCATTTTTTTCACTGGCACATATTAAGGAAAAATAATATAAGGCCAAGAAAAATTTTCAGAGTAGTCAACTTCACTATCTGAAACACGAGACCAATATAACGACACACTAGATCTACCCACATATATTCCAATTTGACAGGATTTGAGGTTCGTATTTGGACCTCTCCTAAACTTAAGTATTCAAAATTTCTGGACCAAAACTTCCACAGATAGCAGTCCTGCTCAAATAATAAAAGGGTTAAATATATTTTTTTTGTCTTTAAACTTGGACACAATTGAAATTCATCCTTGTCCAAACTTGATACATTTTAGTCTCCAAATTTAAAAAATAAATGGATATAGTTCTTCAACCAACTGCATTAAATTTTTTGACGTGTCAACTCGTTTTAGGATGGCATTTGAGTTGTTTACACCATTTTGACACATTACAACTCAAATGTCAATATGAAACATCGTTTAACAAAAAATTAACGTTGCTAGGTTAAAAAGACTATATAATTTTTAAAATTTGAGGAAATAAAATGTATCAAAAGTTTGAGATTAGAAACAAAATTTCAATTTTTGTATCTAAGTTTTAGGAGATAAAAACATATTTAACCGAAAAAAGATTCAAAAAACAAAATAACAAAAACAAGTGATTCTAACATAATTATTGTCTACCGAACTCACCACTCCTTGGCATCTCCAACCATTGTCCATGAGAAACTGCTAGCTTAATTAAATAATACCATTATATGTTGGCAGGATGGGCTGCAAACCAAGATTTTCCATCTGAACAGAGAAGCGCCCTTCAAGATGTTAAAATACATTAATATAAACGTTGTCAATGGATAAAATTTAAAATTCTCTTAAACTTTCATAACTACGAGAAATTTATGCTTAAAAAATTGTGAAAGGAGAATGTATAAGGCCAAGGTAATATTGATATTCATATGTTATTGAGAGTCAACAAACAGAAGCTTGCAATAATTGAAATCTTCGGGGATTTGATGTCTTAAAATTTAATATTTAACATTCTCTATGTATAGAACCTTTCACCTATGAAGCACAAACTGATACATACAAAACTGCACGTGTTTGGCAGGTGTTGGAAAGGTTTTAGGGTCCATATTGGAAACACGTTTGACATTGTAACATTTGAAAGAGGAAAGGGTCTGTCATTGCTTCAAACCTTTGCCAATTACAAAGTATGGGAGAAAAATATTGTTTAATTTGTGAAACTGTTACATGGAGCATTACGGAACATGTACTGCTTAGTGAAATATATACCTGTAAACATAAGCTTCTTTGCAAGAATATAATTCTTTTGGGTTTGCACAACCCATGTATTATGTTCATTAAAGGACCACCTCAACACCTTCACAAGTAGTGAGTGTTCTTCTCCATCATGCAATAATTCAGCACTCGTACAAGAGTCCAATTTTTTTAACTCCTTCAAGTCTAGAGTAGATTAAGCCTAGCCCCTTATTTGAAGGCACAAGGGATGTCCACTTCTAGTAGAATACAACTTCCCATAAACTGTTTTACCGATTGAAAAGTTTCCCCTGCCAACTAATGACACCATTTGTTGTAGTGTTTTATGAGCAGATTCTAAATCTCTTAACCTTGTAAATGACCAAATGAATTTTCTCAGAGGAATGATACTCATGCTATAGTTTTTCACATACTCCTGCCAAAGAAGATGGGCTGCAGGCAGTTTTTCAGAAAACTGCAAGCTGAGAACAGGGTAAAGTTTCAGTGATAGTTGTCCAATGAAAAAAAACAGAGAACACACATTCAAACACGGAAGGAAAAACATGTTTAATAAAATACATAGAGTAATAAAATAAAAACATGTGCGGGTGGTTACTTGATTCAAGCCCATTTTTCTTGAAGTTTTAATAGAAACTATATCAGAGTCACTGAGAGAAAAGCTCTCCTGACAGAAATGTATACAAAGGGTTTCCAGAACTTTATGTAGGCCCGAACACTCCCACAACATTCTAAATCTCCCTCTCAACCCTTTTTTTCTTATTTGTAGGCAACATGCATGTTTCTCATATTATATCAGTCCCAAACTAACTGATATTCAAGTAACTAGATATGGGGTTATGTTTACCCCCTAAAAATTCACCTTGTCCTCAAGGTGAATAACATGGTTGCTGAAAACACCGTTTCATTGGGGTTCCAACTGATTCGGGCATGATAATCAAGCCAACCTCACCCTGCACAAGTGAATGACCCCATGCTCCTTTGACATGATGTTTTCTGCAGTATTTATGTCCATGAGACAGAAAATCATAGCCTTTGTAGTTATAATGAGAAAATCTCAGTCTAGCAAACTGCACAATGGCATATACTGGCAACTGAGGCTTATCAAGATCCTCCACTTTATTGTCCTTTTGTGACTGGTTGATGATACAACCTAACCCAAAACATCCACTTTTATCATTGGTTCAGTCAGTCGATTCTTCCCTGAGTCAAGTTTAGGGTAGAGGAGAGGAGGAAGAGGACGGGGCAGGTCAAGTCAGTGAGAGCTGGAGAGGGTCGATGAGTAGCAAAAGGACAAAGAACAGAGGAGGAAATATCAGAAAACACTAAACAATTTCTAAATACTTAAAACCACAGCAAACAACCTCTTTTTTTTTGCTGTTTACAAAAGTCAGTTAGAAACAGATTTAAAAACTTTCAGTAAAATATTTTGACCCCATTTATCAAAACAGGTTTTCTTTTTCAAATTAAGTTTGAAAATAAAAACTACAAACTTACAAACAGCCATTATAATAAAAGTTGAAATATATAACAAACTGTCAAGATGGATTGCCCTCCTCAATGTCAAGGAATGGTCGAATGATAAATGTCAATGGCAGAAAAGAAAAGCATCATCACCTGTCAATTAATAGTTAATATGAAAAACTATGCCACAATTGGAATAGGATTTTGAATTATCTCTAAGCTTTGCGTTATCTGTTTGTTCGGTACACTACAATGAAGTAAAATGAAAGTAACAATAATAGCTCAAATTTCACCGAGCGAAACAACATATAGCCATTATTTGGAAACTAAACCAGAGAAGAACAGGTCCTTGTACAAACTAGCACGTTTTGTAACAAATACTATAAGGAACATTCACTTTAGTCCATATCAAGTGGTTGACCATGAATCACATGCATATAAATGCTTTCAGACTTAATAATCTATCAAATAAAACAACTTTAACAGCAAAACAGACAATACAATTCTCCAAAGGAGTAAATTTATTTTTTATTCACAACCATAATAGAATGATGCTAGCACTTTCTGTTTGCCCACCTTGAGAAGCTCGGTATATGTAACTTCACTCTTCCCTACTATCTTTTCCATTATGTCCAAACATTTGTTTGCTTGAATTAGACTCTGCATTTTCGTGCAGGATCCTAAGAGTCTATTGTAAAGTGGGAGAACTGGATAGAGACATTGACTTCCTCCAAGAAAATCAATGACATCAAAGGCCTGAACAAAATAAAACAAGTAGAAATGAGAAAAAAACAAAAACAAAAACCCTCGTAGCTAAGATGAAGCTGATTTACTAATAACTGCCTCATATACAGACATGCAATTCAATGTCATGATAAAGTATCCATATATCATATGGAATTGTATTTTCAGAAAGGAAGAAAAACTATTTTCTTCTAAAAAAGCCCCTGAAAATGAAGTGGGTTAATCCCAAACCAATGCCCGTAGCATAACCCCTTTCCCCAATAGTAAACCCAAGAAGGAAAGGAGCATAAATGAACCTATCCCCTTTCCCCAATACGAAGCCCAAGAAGGAAAAAGAGACTAAAGGAAAAATTTACTCAATTATATTTCATGTATAAAACTAATAGTTTACCTCATCCAAGTAACCTCCTTTACAAAGGGCCTCCATCATAAGAGATGAGCATTTATTGTTCATGCTAACACCTTTTGATTCCATGAATCTCCGAATCTCCATTACAAACTGCAAAAAAAAAAGGGGGGAAGGAATAAATTTGACATTCACAAAAGGTTCTACCATTACTCGTGGTCAAAGACGCTCAAGGAAAGTGTGCATAGTCATGCAAAAGGAAAAGTTGAGATAATTTCCTATGCTTCCAACTAACACGAGAACATAAATATCTTATTAGCTAATTTCCTATGTCATAGACTTTCAGAAATGGTGCAGTTAGAAGCTAATAATACATTGCTAAGAATCGGCATTACATCAATTTGTAGGATTGCTAAGGATATATATAACTAGAACTCGAGTTAAAATCATATCTGGTCTCATACATTTGTAAATCCAATCTTAAAGCAAACTTTAACATGTTGATTTTGCAAACAGAGAAAATAAAAGGCTGGAGGGGATTAAAAAAAAGAAATTTGAATATTAGGAATCCAGAAATAAAGAATTGGTTATTTGGGAAATAGCATACCAATGGATCAGGAGAGCGTGCACAGTACTTAAAAATATGAAGAAAATCGTCAGCAGTTAATGAGTGGGTTCTGGAACCAAAATCCAAAAGTAAGTCTGAAGCCTTCTTTCTTTCACCCGAGCAGAGTGCCTTAAGAACTTGCATCTGCATAGATGGTTCTGTTTCAAATTCAACAAATCCAGGACCTGCATTTTGTTATATACTATGATACCACATGTTATGCAAATGAAAATGATCGATTGACAAATTCTTAGATATACAAGTGCAACATTTATGAAAAGATATATATAAAAAAAGTGAATGAGCTGCGATCGAACTGCTATGTGAGCAGAAAAGGTAAGTATCTTAAATAAATGAAGAGACTCGTGAAATGGAGGATGCAAACCTGTGGAGGTGCGATTTTGAGAGAAGTGAATTTGAGCACCCTACAATAGAGTAAGCGGAAAGAAGCATTTGGTTAGGTTAGGATAAGGAAGAGAAAAAGTAAAATTAGCGGAAAAAGACGTACATGGTGTTCATGCAACTTAGATTTACAAAGTGAAATTGAGCGCAGAAAAACCCTTGCTCTGAATCTATGCATATGCATATTCATGCTTTGCTTTAGCTTTCACTTGCTAAGCAGCAGAGTGAAGAAAATCCCACTGCTTTGCGTTGCTCTGGTTTGATCTCCCCTCCTTAGGGGCTTTTCTTCCTGCACCCCATCGTTTCTAACGGCATTTCATGCTAATACAGAAAGACTAAGACACCCTCTTCATTACATTACGTCATCATCATTACCGTCACTTCCTTTCTTCACCGCAGAGGAAGAAGAAAAGAGAAGGTTCATTCTAAAATAAATTAAAAAACTTTTTCATGTATTTTAAAATATTTGTTCTAGAAAAATTATTTTTAAATATATTATATATATTTCAAAACGTTTAATGAAAATTCTGTTTTGGAAAAAATTATTTCAGACCGCATTTTTGCATTCCAACAAACTTTTCAGATATCTTTTTCTGAAAATTTTATTCTTGAAATCATGTTTAGAAAATTCTAAAAAGTTTTGTTTTTGAAGATTTTCAGATAGCTAATTTAAATATCATTTTTATAAAATGTAAAATAACCATTTTAAAATTTATTAGAATGCATGTATTGTAGAGACTAAGAGAGTTTCTTTTAACACTTCCTTTCTATTAGTTCTGGATCTTCAGATATACTATGTATAAGAGAGTTTCTTTTTAACACTTATTTTCTTCATTTCCCTCCATATGTATGAAAAAAGTTTAAATTATCCAAGTAGAAAATCTTCTTAATTATATGATCTGAAAATTCATTTAGATCGTATAATCAATAATTAAAAACTATATTTTAAATTATATAATCTAAAAACATATTTTAATACATTTTAAAGATTTTAATACATAAAAGATAAAAGCAGTCTATTTTTATATATGTAATAAAATATAATACATACAATTTAAGATTAAATACTTAAAATAAAAAATTGCATATAATACGTAATATATAACAATTAAAGAATTAAAGTATCATTCCAAAGTTTTAAAGTTTTATCATAAATATTTTTCACCAATTGCAGATTATAAAAGGTTTTAATAACATACTATTAATTAAAGAATTGAAGTTTTTATTTAACATTATATTTACAGGTTTTTTTCTTTATATTTTAGGTATATTAGTGAACCAATCGAACTAATTAAGAATTCAACCTGAATAATCATGTTTAATTTTAATTAACTCAAATCTCAATCCATTTTGATGGCTTCATCCAACGCCTCATTTCATCTGTTATTTTTTTTTTCATAATTTATTAAGATAAAGATTTATAAGCCATCATATTACTTAATAATCAAGTTATAGAAACTCGTTTATATGTTTACTCTAATGATTGACTTTGTTTGGAAAATTTTGATTTACAACTTAATTTAATTTCAGGTTCCCCTGATGTTAATGTTAATGAGTCCATTACAATTAGAATAAAGTGTTTTACAAAATGAATTCATAACTAGTTTGTTTACCGTCAATTGATGGTGGTATCAACACAGTTATCATATGAAAATAACTGAGATAAGTGCGAAAAAAAAAAGTTTTCAAATCATTGCGATACAAATTGGTGAACGTCAATACATTATCTCTTGATTATTGGACTTCATTTTGGTTCGACAGATCAATATCTGATACGTTTGTTGTGCAACTATCGTATTATAAATTTCACATGTAAAAGTGATATTTCTAATTGTCTATTTTATGTTAATAATACAATTAAAAAATACAACGAGATTTATAATTGTCTATTTTAAGTTAAAAAATACAATTAAAAAATACATCGTGATCTATTGCTATCAATTCCAATATATAGTTTATCAATTTACCTCCATTGTTGACGAAAATCAAAGTTTCTTCTCCAGCTGGTATTTTATTAAGGCCTTGTTCACTTGAGTGGATTTGAGGGAGAGTAATTGAGGGGATTTGAGAGGATTTGAAAATAAATTTTTTTGTTGAATATTTGAGTGAATTTGGAGGTAAATGAGATTGGATTTGGAAGTAAATTTTTTTAATCTGTCACGTCAATCAAATCCTACACTAATTCTCACAAACTTTACTTCCAAATTCATTCTCACTTACCTCCAAATTGACTCAAATAAACAACAAAAAAATTTATTTTCAAATACTCTCAAATCCCCTCAATTACTCTCCCTCAAATCCACTCAAGTTAACAAGGCCTAAAAGACGTTGCGATGAAGAGCAGCCTCTATGCCTAAGTTTCTTGTAATCAGATATAAAAGATGGAATAAAAAAAGAAGCTACCATTAAATTGTGAAACTTGACCTCTCGAACAACAAACCTTCTTCCATGACTTAGCAAACCATAATGTACACAACGGAAGTGAATTGTATGTATTTTGTTAAAGTATGGTGGTATTGGCATGCTTAACGGTAACGAACCAAAATCGTTTTAAAGGAAGTAGCCATAGAGTTCCAAGTAACAAATGCAGAAATTCCAGGGATTGGTGGCATCGGTGGTGGGTCCAGTGAGAACAACCCGGAAATACCTGAAGGGAAGCAGAGCGTTGGGGCCAACTATGGGCCAAGAGGCAAACTGACCCGGTTTACATACGCTCCGATCATTTTCATGGACCTTCAAATTCGTCCAGCTCTTTCCCTCCTGTGAGCCCTGAAATTTTTACACACCATAACTGGTTAATCTTTCCCTTCAACATGCAACAATATTAAGACAGAAACCCTCCACAGTTCAAGGGGGACTGTTTACCTGAATGTTCCAACATCTGGGGAAGGCCTTGGAACCGTCCTGCCTTAGGGTATAGTAGTTGCACATAAGCTGCATCCATCGATTTTACTCAGAATGTGCATTACATCTAACAGAATGTGCATTACATCTAAGAAGTAAGGATCCATTCAAATTGATAAATGAGGTTGGAGAGTTGCAGTAAAATCCTTAAGCACTTGCTTAAAGCGCATGACCAAATGCGAGTACTATTATTAAATGGTAGTAAACATACATACATAATTAGCATATTGCATACCTGATGATCTTGGCCAAGATCAACCATCCACCAGGTACAATTCTGCCCATTTTCCAAGCGGGGCCCAGCAAAACATGTTCCCTGCGATGGTCACATTAAGTTAGATACCGTACAATAAAATAAGAGTTCAACAGTCAATTGTAGTTAAAATGTTTAGCATACCTGGTAGGTTCTAGAGACCAAAACCTTGGGATCAGTGTATCTTGAGTGGGGGCTGCTTGCTGTTATGGTAATTTTCCTCGGCTGCCACACACAATGTTTAGTTAAGGGAATGCATAAACAGTTCATTCGTAAGACCTTAGCATAACAACTCCTAAAGAGAAGACTTGATTACTCATTCAGTTCCTATACCTATACAATCTCTAGGTTTTAAAGTCTTTGTACCAAGAATGTAATTCCTTTTAGTTCCTACAGATACACTTTTTTAACATGTTTTATCTCTGTACATACGTCTTTTAATCTGCTTTAGTCCCTACAATTTTGGACAATAGGACTTTTAGGGACGAAAACAAGTAGTTTTTAGGAATGAAAAGTAAACAACGAAGATTGTATATGATATAGACCATATAAGTTATTAAACCAAATAAAAATGAGGGGGGAGAGATAAATTAGAATTCTACCTCTGCCAAAAGAGGATTAACCCAAGGGTGTTCACCATAGGATGTGCCAGCAAAGTACAGAACTCCGTGGTCATCTCCATCGCAAATATACTGGAGTTCCTTATAACTGGACCGTCTATGTTGGAATCGAACACTATAATGAAAGGTAGAGTAAGCTAACTATTGTTAGACGTGTTCTTCTCTAGGAAAAGAAAAATATGAGAATAATTCATAACGTAAATAGAAAAGTGATTAGTCACAACTTAAAAGTTCAAAAACTTATAAAGCAAGCCAAAAACTCCAAATACTCCCAAATTGTTACCCAAGTATCCCATTTCGGATAAGAACGCCAATTTAATTTAGAAATACTTAGAAAACCCTAAATGGCCAAGAAACTAACGAGTACCTTGTATATACCATCCTTATATCATATACTTATATGGTATATTCATTTGAAGTTTTCCACTGTCCACCCTTCTAATATTCCTTTCCCATATCCATTATTATATCCCTACTCCAAACTCGCCAGCATGGGCCCTAGAACGGCTATTTGGAGGAGGAAAACAAGGATGAAAAAAGAGGAAGGGAAGAGTACGAAGCTTGAGAGAGAGACTGTGTCACCCAATAGATTATGTCATCAAATTCTTGTATGGATCTTGAATAGAAATCCCCTCTATAATCCAAGTAAACCTATAAGTTTGTTTTAAAAATATGAGAATAACCCAGAATTATGAATCCATATTCATAATACCTTATTTAATAGGATTACAGATGATTTCTCAACCAAATAAGCTATTGTTATTTTCTACAGAGGCTACAGCCTAGATGCTGAAACGTTATACAACCAAAGTCCACTGCATGACTTAAAAGTCCCCCAATGAAGAAGCTGAGGCAAACTAAAGTGAAGAACTTACTTCTCTTCGTTTTCTAGCCCTGCCAGCCCGCATTTAACAAAATTGATTGCTTCATTAACCTGTAACAAATAAAATAAAAAATAGTTATTCAAAATAAGATTTACACAAATCACATTACACTTACAGCCTCAATTGATTCAAAGACAGCAAACTTACAAGATTTTGGAAAACAGGGATATGCTGACCAATGTTGCTATTCTGCAACTGCAAATTAATTACACAAATATAACATTATAGTTAGAACAACTAAATACTATTGTGTAAGGTGTTCATAGGTATCTCAATGCAGAGATTACCAACCTTCTCAAGTAAGGAATATTGTAGCAGTGGAAATCTCACGAACGGCAACAAGTCATGGACTAACTGAAGCCTCTCACCAAAAAGGAGTTCGGGTCTTGAATTTACTATTAACGCATCCACCACTTCCCACCCAAACAACTCTTTAGAATTCATGCCAAACATTAGAATTGCATTAAGAACTTTCTCTTCAGACGTTACTGTCAGATCCGGATGCTGCAAAATCCAAATATAGATCAAGAAATTATCAGTCAGATGACCTCATATTACAAAATTAGACCCACTGGAACAGACAATTTTGCTGATGAATAACTTATATCTAATCTAGTATTCAGGGGTTTGGAACAGAAATTTATTGTTTCGAATGAG